TCAAATGGCAGTTTCAGCCTATGCCTTGGAGGCACGCAATGGGTGGAGGTACCTACTCTGAAATCCCGCTGCCCTGTGTCAATTTCACCTCCACCACTTCTTAGGTGTGTGAACTAGAGCTAGTTACTCGGCCTTTTCAAGCCCCACTCTCCTCATTAGTTTAACGTGGAAATAACTGATTTCATCCATATGGTTGTTGTGATGATTAAATGAGGTAGATGTAGTTAAGAGACGCTCAACAAATGTTTCTTGTTTTCATTAGCGGCCGCAGGGAATGATGGGTCATGTTGGTGATTCAGATTCTAGGCCCTTCACTTCTGCCTCAACAAGAGCAGAAAAAATTTATCTTCTATTTTATATATTTTATTAATTTAAAAAAAGGTCTGCTGCTAAGAGTAAGTTTGCAAAATGCCGTTCTATCTTGCACTATTAAAATATTCCTAGTATCGTTGTTGAGAGAAAGCATTCTGTTTCCTTTTGCTATATCTGCTGCTAAGGGATTCCTGGAAATGTTCATCCATCCCCTTGTCTGTGTGAGTACCAGCACTACCACTGAACCCACATTAAACCTTCTGAGGTAGACCCTTATATCTGTGTATTACTAGTTTACAGTTTGGTCTTCTACTTCTAACCTCAGTCTTGAGAGATTCTCCTACCTATTTGTGGCATCAGAAAATATGCAGGAACCATTGTTTGCACCAAGAAAGGCACAAATTATAAAGAGTCTTAAAGAGGGGCTCTTGCTCCTAGAAGCTAGTTGAATTAGCTCAGCACAGAGGAAATATGATTAATTCAGATTAGAGCAATATTTACTGCCAGGCACCTGCCTTATTATTGCACTTATGTTACATTTGGAGTACCTGTGTACTTGTTGAATGCTCCTACTAGACTGTGAGGTTTATTGTTGCAGAGTATGCCTCTCCCTTTACCCTCCCACACTTAGTGCAGAAGTAGCCATTCACCAAGTGTTGATTCAATTACTGAGGGATGGCAGTGTCCCTCAATCTTGGAAGAAAAGTGAAACATGGATAGAAATGAATCACAGAGCAGCGTGTGTTTGGTGCAAAGTGCAGAGGAGGTATCTGACCATTTTAGAGGTTGTGGGGAGGTGGAAATATGTCCAAGAATCTTCTGAGAAGAGAGAACACCTGATCTGGACTTTAGTAACAATAATTGACCACAAGCAAGTATCGTCTCTGGAGATTGTATTATTATTATTCACAGTTACTCACTTTTCCTCTTCCCTATAAGAGGCCTCTACATTCTTGCCCATTGCTCTGTATCTTGTATACCTCTTATGGAAACAGTATTCCTATCCCATTGATTTTAGCCTTAGCCATATGACTTGCATTGGCCATGAACAGATGTAACTATGCCCATCTAAGCAAACTCGTTAAGAGCAATAGCATGGTTTGGGTAGCTGTTTGTTTGTTTTTGTTTTTTTTCCTTTCTCTCTGTAGTGAGAATAGGTGTATCCACCATAGTATCTGCCTCCTCAGCTTGGGTATGGAAATAAGACGTGTGTGGCAGAGCCATATGCAGAATCAGGCAGAACCATGCAAAACTGCAGCTGACCAGATAAATATGCAATGTGAGCAAGAAATGATTTTTGTTGTTGTTGTTGTCATCAGCTACTGAGATTTTGGTGTTTATTTTGTAGAAAAATTCACTAACACAAGCCCTATGAAGTACAGACTATTATTTTTCTTTGCAGAAGATAAAACAGAGTTAATTAGTAACTTTCCCAGTCACACATTTAGTAAAAAGGGAGACTTAGGACCTAGAACAAGGTATGCCATATTATATGTTTTTCTGGGTATAAAGTCCAAATTTAAGGAAAAGCTGTGGAAAGGCACAGAAACATGGAACACTTTATTATGTAAGCAAGCAGTTTGGTATTATTGGGTCAAAGGTTATAGAATAGATAAGTAGAAATGAAGAGATGAAGCTAGGAAAGTAGAAAGAGTGGGTCTAGTTCGTGAATGGCCTTTTAACATATGCTAAGATGATTGACTTATAAATCATGAACCAATGTCTAACTTGATTAGATGGCATCTTGGGACGGTATTTGTCTTAGTCTGCTTGGGCTGCCATCACAGATTACCACAGGCTGGATGGCTTAGACAACAAGAAATTATTTTCTCACAGTTCTGGAGGCAAGAAGTCCAAGATCAAGGGGCTGGAAAGTTTAGTTTCTGGTTGAGTCCCCTCTTCCTGGTTTGTAGACAGCCACCTTCTCTGTGTCCTCCGATGGCCTTTGCTCTGTGCTTATATAGAAAGAGAAAGCCCGCATGTGCACAAGCAAGGGAATGAGGGGAGGGGTTCGGTGTTTGTTCCTTTTCCTATACGGTCTCTAATCCTATTGGATTAGGGCCCTACGCTTATGACCTCATCTAACTGTAATTACTCCCTTAAAGGCCCTATCTCAGCTTTGCGCAGTGGCAGTATCGTAGCCAATGAGGTTTATCCAAGGCATGATTATTGCTAATTAAAGGCCCTATCTCCAAATGCAGTCATGTTGGGAGTTAGGGCTTTAAAATGTGAATTTTGGGGGGGACACAGTTTAGTCCATGGGAGTATATAAGTCCAGAGGGAATGTCTATGTGTGTGTGTGTATTTTTTTAAGATTATTTTTATTTATTTATTTATTTTAGAGGGAGCGAGAGCAAAAGCGGGGGGTGCAGAACAAGGGGGGGGGGGACAAGCAGACTTTACGCTAAGCGTGGAGCCCAGTCAGGGCTCTATCCCATGACCCTGAGATTATGACTTGAGCTGAAATCAAGAGTCAGAGGTTCAACCAACTGAGCCGCCCAGGCACCCCCAGGGGAAATAAACTGTTGCTAGGAGTATTTTGGAACTTGAAATAGTTTGCAATTTAAGTAAAGTGCTATATATTTAGGCTGCTAATAAAGACATGGGTATATAATCTCTTTGTATGTTTTTATTCTACACCAGTTAACTGTATAGACATAAAAGAGTCTTTGACCCAGGCCACATGGTGGTCAATGCCAAGCAAATGCTAAATAACAATCTTGTGACTCCCATTGTGTTCCTACTCTGTAGTTAATCCTGGTAAAGGAACAGAAATTTATTTGCACTTGAGATTTCTGCAAAATGCTGACCCCTCTCAAAGCCCAGATGCCTTCCCATGGCATCTTGGTCACCCGCTTTTTTTCCTCTGGTAACTTGCCTCTGGGATTTCCAAATTTGCATAGCACCCACTTCATCCCATCCTGTCACATTTCCAACCAGATTCCTGCCCTAGGTAATGTTGCTTCCAGGGAGAGGAAATGAGCCATTGTGTGCACCCAAGGAGCTAACCCAGTAATTTATTGAAGTATGGGAAAAAAGACTGGAAAACACTGACATAAGTTCTCCTAGTGAAAAGTCAGCTTTTATTTTTTTCTTCCATTCAAACATCACACATTTCACAATGCCAACATAGGAGCAAATATTATTCCTCTGCAACATTCCAAATTGAGGGGTGCCTGGGCGGCTCATTTGGTGAAGCGTCTATCTTCAGCTAGGTTCATGATCTCGGGGTCCTGGGATGGAGCCCGGCCCCAGGCTCCCAGCTCAGCGGGAAGCCTTCTTCTCTATTTCCCTCTGCTGCTCCCCCTGCTTGTGCTCTCTCTCTCTCTCTCTTGTTCTCTCTCTAAATTAAATAAAAAACAAAACAAAACAAACAAACAAAAAAACATTTGAAATTGAATGAAAGGACAACCCTATTTCCAAATGTAAATGACCATGAACGTGTAGCTGGGTATGTGCTGGTGTATGGCCTTCTACCCAAACAGATACCTTCAGGCATGTGGAATTTTTCCCCAAGGAGGTCCACGTATTTGGCCAATGGTGCAATTTCATCTGCAGACAAACTTTACAATTACAAAGTTGCTGTGGTTCTAGTAATTACAATGGACCTATCACTGAAGAAATTGATTGGAGGCTTTTAAAAAATTGTAGATAGGTTTCCCTATCCCATTTGAGAAAGTAACAGGAAACATAAAAATCTCTTTATTGATTTAAATATCTCAGTCTCATTTATACTTATTTTTGAGTATTATTCTCATCAAATGTCAAATTTGCTTTGAATATTTTCTGAATACACAAAATGGGCTAAGAAATGTTCCTGGTACATGAAGGTCAAGAGCTGACTGATTCCCAAATCTTGAAGTCTGTGGAAATAATGTAGTGACCCTATTCAAGGCTACAAGTTCTACTTTTAAATTTGATTGCTTTGGAATATTTTTTGACACAAGTTCTTACATTTTTCTCCTTTATTTAAACACTCTCTGTTAGCTGGCTCCTTATTTGCAGACTATGAACAATCACAAATCCCTCTTGAAAGATCCCTTCCTTGACATTTTATTGTCTCTCAGACACCAGTCTATCCTACCACTTGCCTTTATATACAAGATGCTTCACCAAACCATTGTCTTCATTTCCTGAACACCCATTACATTTGTACTCATCTGCAGTTGGGCTTTGCCTCCACTGAAACACCTTTATAAAAATGCCTTCAGGTGGCTTTGTAATTGCCAGATTTGGTATTTATCCCTTCTCTCAAATGGGCTTGATACCATTGGCTACTCTTCTTGATTCATTCCTTTCTGTGGCTTAAACATCTCTTTTGATTGATTCTTCTCCTCTCTCTGACATTGTTTGTAGACTCCTTTGCTGGGTCTTCTTCTTTATTTTGATACATTATATAGGGCTCTGTCTTGGCATTTATTTTCCCTGTCAGTTGCCGGCCTGACCCTTCTACTATAGCTTGAAATTCAGTCAAATATAGATGTCTCCCAAATCTGTTTTCTCAGCCCGGATGCCTTCAGACTTGTATACCCAGCTGCATAGGAAATAGCTCCATTTAGGTGCTTCATAGCACCTCAGATCTGCTCAGTCAGATGGAATGTCTGCTCTTTTTCCTGCGTTTTTTTTTTTTTTTTGTCTATGATGACTATCATCAAGATCCAATCAGGCCCTTCACCAGAAATTCAGGAGTTCTCCTGGTGTTTTTCCTCTCTCCTACACACCTCTATACTCAATCTAGGCAATCATTTAGTTCTGGAGATTCTGTTTAACAATTCTTAAATACGGTATGATCATCTCTTGCCTCCCTATTCTAATAGCTTCTATTGTAACTGGTATCTTTGTCTCTCTGTGTCTCTGTCTCTCTGTTTGTCTCTCTCTCTCTCTCTCTCACACACACATACATACACATTTTTTGCTCTTTCTTTCCTCTATCTGTCATAGATTGACCTGTTCATTACACAAATCAAATCTTCTGGTTAATTCCATTGCGTGTCTCATTGTTTACATGAATATTCGACCTAATGCTTGAGCATGCCATTCACAGTACACCATCATATGCCCCAAGCCCTATTTCTAGCCTCCTCTCTTTCTTCAGTCCTATCCAATTGCTTGCAGTTTCTGATTGCACATAAATATTTCTCATTCAATGCCTGTGCTAATGTTGATGTTTTCTTCCAGAAATGCTCTACCCCTATACCAATCCTCTTGGCTAATGCTCAACTTTCAAGGCACCTCATGGTTATATGCTAGCTTCTCTGCATCACATCTTATGATCTCTTACTACTCCAGGTAGAATTGATCTTATTCTTCCACCAGAAACTATGCATTTATCGGTGTTCCTCTAATATCGATTGAATGAATGTGCGGATGCCTTTCTCTTCTCCTTTTGTATATTTAGGCATGGTACCTAGAACATAATAGAAGGTGTGTAATAAAAGTTGGTTGAGTCAATGATACTTAAAAAAACAGAATTTCACAGAAATTATTGGAGAGGGGGAAATAAATGCTCCTGTGTTTCAGGAATGAGAGAAAACAGAATTTTTGGCACCAGGAAAAAGTTCATGAAGGAAATGCAGTTGTTTCAGGTCTATAGCAGATATAGGAACCTAGAATGAGGAGCACATGAGACCCAGACTATTGTCTGTCATTCTATCTGTTATTATTATATCTTTCCATAGATACAGCATGAAGCAAAATAATTTCTGGCTGATGGAAATTTCTGTTTATTTGAAGTTTTTCTCTATTTGTACAATCACAGTTTTTCTGACCATTAGCAATAAAACTTCTGCATCCTATTACCCTAGATAATTCATTCTCTCTGTTAGACATTTCATCTCTAGTCTTTGTGACTAGAAATACTTTACTTGTATCTGAAACCAGAATTCCCATTGTTTTTTCAAGTCATTATTTATTGCTAAAAAACTCTTTCTCTACCTTAAAAAGGTAGAGAAAGAGATGACCTGGTTTGTTTCTATATTTTATCTTTCCACTGGATCCCAGAGACGATTATGGAAAGCCTCCATAATTATGGATAAGCAAAATTTGTCTGTATTCCAAAGGCAATGTATACTTTGGAATCTAGTAGTTAGTTTGATTATGAGAATTCCAAAGACTTAATATTTTTTCCTCATAAAAACAGCCACCGTTTACCTTTGTATAACACGTAACAATTTATAAACCATTTTGGTTTGCGTTATTTTATTTGAGCCTCACAACAAAACTGGAAGGCAGTATTGACGTTTTCTTTATAGAGATGAGAAGACTGGAACTCAGATTGATTTTCTTATTCAAAAGTATACAAGTGATAAACAATAATACTGGGACTTGAATTCAGACCTTTTTCACTTAGTACTTCCTTCAGGATGGTACTCTCTTTATCCTCTTCTAAAATATTTTGCAAAGAGGCTATGATGTCTCAGTTCATTCAGGGTTAGTTTTAGAGAAAAATTAGATCGAGTGGGTTTCCTAAAAGTATATACATCGAGCATTTCAAGTTACTGATAACTCAGATTATTTCCCTAGCATTTTAATATAAAATATCAAAATATAAAAAGCAATGGAGGCTTTTGATTAAAACTCAAAGAAAGTATTTCCTACCAATGGGAGAAGAGGAAAATATGGCTCACTCCAGCAGGAACACTAGATCCACCATGAATTCTTGTTCACACATGCATTCATTCATTAGTTTCATTCATTTATTCATTTATCTGAGAATCAACTTGTACAAAAAAAACCTGCAATGAGCCAGACATGTGTTGGCCTTGAATGGGCCACAGAGGTGACTTGATGATGAATCCTGTTCTTAGGGCTTAATTATATCTTCACAGGTTGAAGTTAATTTAGAATCTCATACAAAAATTATTACATAGGAATAACTGTAGGAGTATTTTGAGGATGTGATCTACCATGTCACCACGTCCTATTTTTATGAGAATTCCTAAGAGAAATTCCAGAGGTCAGAAGAGAGAAAAAATAAATTTTTCTTCAGAAAATATGTTGTTTCTTCTAAATTACCCTTTTCAAAGTAGGAGTGAGTTTTGCCGTTGTGTTTTTACTTCTTACCTTTAATTTATTAGTCTTAGAGTAACATGATTTGGGCGATGCAGAAGCACTTTGTGAAACCTTTGGCTCACCTCCAGGAATTATGGACTGTTCTGTGGTGTACATTTTGGATCGTAATCTCTGCTTAGTATCATATTTTCCTACTTTTACTTTGCCTCCATTTCCTTATTTTCTTTATGTTGTGTTTTATTGTCAA